AGGCCCCGTCTGTCTTTGTGGGTGGACATTAAATAACCCATCTCTCTGTTCCAAAGTGAGAAGGGAGTTTCTGTCTCTTCCGCGTACTGGACAATAAACCCCCAGATAAAATTGGTCACTCACTTTGTGGCTGTTTGTGAGAAGTTGCTCTGCGCAAATTGGCCGCACAAAGTACTCAGTCACTACGCTTTACAGTAAATCCCGTGAAGCGTTTTGAATTAATATCCCACAAACAGCCACAAAGTGAATGAACAATTTTCTCACTATTCCTCACACTTCACCTAACGTTGCTGAATTGGAGGGTGCGGCTCTCCCCACACTCTCCAATTCAGCAACGTTAGTTAAAAGAGGAAATATAAAACATAGGAATCCCCACCTCACCTCAAATCTATCTGGATCTAACCAGCAGTGGGTCTGACAAGATTGTGTTTTCCCCTGTAATTGTACAGGGTGTTCACAAAGTCCTGTTACCCCTTTTTTTCTTACAGTGAATTTTTATTTTCTGTTGCAGATGAGTTGAGTGTAACAGTGTCTGATCCCAGTGACTTGCTCCTCACTCCATCCATGTTACAGGCGATATAGCACCGAACATGGCGACAGATCATTATCTGCCATGAAAATGATGGCTCTCACACACACACCCCGATCCTCTTGATGACCCAATACAGTTAAATACTTGTACTGAATACAATTAAGTACTTCTAAATACAATTATCATCATTCTTCCACATGTTTCAGTTGTTGGTCAGTGCACTGTCGAAAAAACACATGAGGTTAACAGTACTTTGTGAACACCCTGTAGGAATACCTCATGAAAGGCCACAAAAAGGTGTAAAGAAAACATTTGCTTTGCTGAGCGCAGCATAGGGATTTAAAGCCTTTGCTGTGGCTGGCCTATATCACAGAGATTTCAGGGGTTCAGTCTCTGCTCAGTCCCCAGGCATCAAGTGTGAATTAAATCACTTCCAGATGGCAACTACTCAATGGTGGCTTATTTGAGGGGTGTGAGGGGGCAGGTGGGGTGGAGGGGGGGGTGTGTGGACAGGGGGAGAGGGAGAAAAGCATTAAAGTCAAAGCCTTATTTTATTCCTCTCTCCGGGACCTTTTCACAGTGTAAAACTGTGACGGTCTTTTTCACACTCCAATAATGCTTTCGTGGATGACGTGTGTGTGCCCAAGCCAGACCTGGGAAATACTTTCCTTCGATGAGAGATTACTTACTGGGAGGCTCACGGTCTCGGTTGATGGTCCAGTACAGCGCTGGGGGGAGTGATTCATTGTCGGAGGTGCCGTCCTTTGGATGTGACGCTCTTGGAAAAGAGAAAGGAGTTTTTTTGCGATGTCCTGGACAAGAATCCCCACAGATCATATTGGTCACTCATTTACTTGGTGGCTGTTTGTGGGACATTGAGGAACACCGGGAGAAACTCCCTTTTCTTTTACAATGGGATCTTTAATGTCAGTGGAACTTTAGACACATGGTTTTGGTGTCCTCTTGTGGTCATGTTGTCACACAACAACCAACAGGTGGGAATTACACCACATACACTATTTCTTATTCCTCACCATATAATAATCCTTGAAGTTGATATCGCCTTCTGTCATGGTCCCCCTCCCCACGTCCTCGATTCCCACCTCCAGTCATTCCCTTCCCCACCGCCCTCCCCCCCCCCCGATGTGAAAGGCGCTATAGGAATCTAAGTTTGTATTGTATCGAGCCTTATCACATCAAGACGTCTCAAAGCTCTTCACAGTGTAAAGTGGAGTGACTGCGTGTTTTATAGGCGTCCAAGTTAGACACAGTGATGTCCCAGCCAGACACACAGCCAGGGCCTGAGGGGAGCTGGTGGTCAGGAGGGGGTGGATGTTAATTGTTCCGTGTCCAAAGGTACATTGAAACGCACAACATTCAGGACAGAGACTGGGAACCATAGTACGACCGTACAGTACAGAATGGACTTCAGTCTGTTCTGGATATGAAACTGAACAAGTTTCTGATTGGAGCTGCTCGTTACTGTGGGAAAGGGTTTTGTTTATTGGGAGCTTTCAATGATGGGAAAACCTGTGCTGGAAACTCAGATACCAGGGTGTACGGACAATGTTCGTGCATATATACAATGTGTGTGTATATACATATATAGTTTGTTTTGTGCATATAGTGGGTGCGTGTGTATAGATGTGTGTCTATATATATAATAGGTATAATGGTTGTGTAGGGTGACTGTTTAGCGTATGGGTATCGTGTGTGAATATAGTGTAGTGTGTTGGTGTAATGTGTGTGTATAGAGTCTGTATATATATATATTGTGTGTATATATAGTGTGTGAGTGTATCTATAGTATGTGTAGTGTGTGTGATTATATAGTGGGTGTGTATATATGTGTGTAGCGTAATGTGTGTGTGTATGTACAACAACTTGCATCGTACAGAGCTTAAACGTAGTGTGTGGTGTGTACATGGTGTGGTATGTGATGTATGTGTGAGTGGTGTGTGTATGGTGTGTGTGTATGGTGTGTGGTGTGTGTGCGTATGTGGTGTGTGTGTGTGGTGTGTGTGGTGTGTGTGGCGTATGTGTGTGTGGTGTGTGTTGTGCATGTGTGGTGTGTTTGTGGGTGTCTGGTGTGTGTGTGTGTGTGTATGTGCACAGCCTCCCTACAGGCCAGAGACTCACATTCTCAACGTCGCGGTGAAGATCATAAACAAGCGGAGAACAGTCAAAGCCATTATGCTCAGTAATACATCTAAAAACTTTATTAACAGAAACTTTAGACATTTATATGTAACCAATAAAAGCGGGTGCCGTCCCTGTGAGAGCGCAGCACGTCCGCACAGTGTTTAAAGGCTTGTGCGTTCCGAGAGACAACATAAGACGCGGATAATGAAACTCCAGGACTTATGGTTTCAGGCTGTCAGTTTACACAGGATATTCTTTGGTTGTCGACTAAATGTTTCTCTGTCCGAGAAACCTACCGTTGAAACGTCAGCATCCTGCAATGTCGGCCTCAGAGCGTCTGTGGTTAACACTAAATGGAGGGACTGAAGGAGCCGGGATTGCTCAGAGTTGTGACCCGTCGGGGAAGCGGGAATGTTTGGGTTAATCCGCTGCTAACACTAGCCCAGGCAGAGGAGACGGGGTGGAGGGTGGGTGGGGGGGAATCGGAGAGGGTACGGGGGCTCCAGATTGTGGATTGAGCATAGCAGTGGGCAACTAGATTGTCTGTTATTAATTAATTTATCTGTTCATTAATTTCAGACACGCTTCTTAATTTGGTTGAAGCAAACAGCAACAATGCATTTCAGAGAAGGCTTCATGGGCACATGAGGAAGAAAGGAATCGAGGGGTGTAGGTGTAGGTGAGCGGAACAGGAGGTTGGGGGCCTCGTGTAGAGTATAAACAGAAATACAGACTAGTTGGGCCGAATGGCCCGTTTCTATTAACTCTGTATAAATGTTAATACGGAGCTGGTGAGATTGCTGCAGTTCTTACTACCCGCTAACAGGGGGCAGAGGTGGGGGCGACTGAACTCTAACCTCTTTGCCCTCAGCACATTTTGAAACGTCTTTCAGTAATGATGGTTTCAAGCCACACAAACCTGTCACACTTTCAGGAGAACTGATCCTGAACCCCACTTTCCATCATCAATTTCATTCAAAGCAAACTCCAAATAAGCCTTGCATTGCTTGCCAATGCGAGCGCTGTCTGGCAAGCTTTCCCGCTGCTTGTTCAGCTGGGACTACCCTCCTCATTAGGGTTATGGCTTAAGGGTTGCCAAGAGTTGAGTTGGAAGATTCTCTGCCCTCAGTGACTGGTTCTGTCCTTCCAGGTCCTGCCGATCTGCCAGGCTGGGCTGGGCTGGGCTGTCGTCAGCTGTACCCTGGAATACTGCAGACCCGACTGGCTCAGGAACCGGACTAGCAAGACCACCACAGACGGCTGGCTCGATTCCAACTTTCTGTTGCCAAGCATGTCACCTTGGAGCCAGTTCAGATCAGAGGAGACACCGCTTAACTAACTCCAAATAAACAACTTAGGAATGTAGTCCAGTCGCAGACACTGTTTCTGAATCTCCTGTTCCTGGAGATACCCCCACCCTTCACTCTATCAGCAAATACAATCACCTCCAACCAAAGCCATTTACCTCCAATCATCACAGCCCCAATGGACACGGATCAATCAAGCCCTTCCTCTCCCTATTCCATCCTAACGTACAAACCTCATCCCCAAAATCATCATTAAATACAATTTAGCCATAGATTTTTTCTTATAAATCTTACCAAGCCCGCTATCACCTGCCTCCTAGCCACACCCGGTGTAGGGGAGGAGTTACAGTGTCAGGTCAATGTATATCACACATCGACATCTGATTGTCTGTTATTAATAATAATAATAATCCTTGCATTTAATATAGCGCTTTTCACGTCTTCTCAATGTTTCAAAGTGCTTCACAGAATAGACTGTAAAGTGAATTGACTGTATATTTGTGGGCGAAACGCGGCAGCCAATTGCGCACAGCAGCGTCCCACAAACAGTCGTGGATTGAAAATAACCAATTTATTACTGTTTTGTTTTGGAGGGATTATTATTAGTGTGTTTCAATGAATCAATGAATAGGTGAGTGATTGAACGAGTGAATGAGCGAGTGAGTGAATGAACGAACGAGTGAGTGAACGAATTAATGAGTGAGTGAATGAGTTAGTGAGTGAAAAAAAAAACTCCCATCTTATTGTCATTTGCCAGTGATTCCGCCCCCTTGCTCGCTCACCGGCAGACCTGTGACTCCTCTCTCCAGCCGCTCACCCCCATAAACCACTGGCCCCACAGACGACACAGCAGCCCTGACCGACTCTCTGATAGTGTCGCACCTCCCTCTCCCCCACTCTAGCCTTCCCAATCCAGTCTCGTCTTCCCTTCACACACCCTCTCGCTTAAACTCCCCCACCCACCCACTCCCCTCAATACTAACTCCCCCCACCCCAAGCCCACCCCACCTCACTCTTGGGGTCACATTTAGACAGAGGATCCTAGCCAGTCCCATCTCCCGGGGTAAACCCAGCCTTTCTCCCCCCCCCGGACTATGGTCAGTTCAGGGGCACAAATGCCAACAGCTCAACCTGACTTTCCACGCGTCTGTCTCTCAGCCGCACACCAAACTGGTGCTGAATTCATGTACGGAGTGGAATGTTCCTGTCAAAGCTTTGCGGTCAGGGCTGGAAAACTTGTTCAATCCGTTCATTGGAAATGTATTACTAAAGCTGGCGACAGTTTCAGTGTCTCACCGGGCGGCACCTTACTCGCTTGCTCACCATGGGATTGATTTATACAGCGCATGACCTAATGCGGGGGTGGTCTAACTGGCGGCACACGGGCCGCATCTGGCCCCAGGGATGATTTCATCTGGCCGGGAACCATTTCCAACTTGGTGTCCAACGAGCAAATATAGGCGACACGCAGGCCCCCGATCAGGAGACGGTCACCGGGGGCTCAGGCTCTGCCCAGCTATGGGACTGGACAATCAGGATAAAATATTACTTATGTGGCCCAAGGACTTTTCTCAAATCCGGCATCCGGCCCTCAGCAGCACAAAAGGTTGAACCATCCTGAGTTCTAAAGAAACTGCCACACCGTTTGCAACAAGGAGTAGGGAATGGGGGGGGAGAGGGGGTGTTATGGGGGAGGAAAGGCCACCAGGTTATAAATAAGACACAGCTAACCTCTGACCTCTCACTCAGGCTGATGGACCCAGGCCCCAAACTGTGCTTGAACAGGCTCTGACCTTCTCACCGTTCACACTCGTACTCACCCATACATACGCTTTGATCAGCAGTTCTCGGCGCAATCCCTTTCGCTTAAAACAACAACAACTTGCATTTATGTAGCACCATTCGCACGGGGTAGCGTGTCGGAGACCTTAAGTCAACTATCATTCAGGTCAGTGTTCAAATGGAGGCAACTTGTGAGGCTTTGGTCCTTTGTATTTGTTGATACCCCAATTCCTGGACTGGAGAGGCTCGGTCTGGTGGCAACATCTCCTGCACGGTGAATTCCTTGGTTACAGTGAGCGACGGGCTCCCAGCTCCATAAACCTCCAGGCATCGGGGTCAGAGGGAATCAGGAGATCTTCAATTCGTCCACGTGTAGATCTTCAACATCAAACCGTCTGAAGATGGCTCCATCTGCTGTCTGGAGTGTAACTCAAACTGCGTTGAGGGTTTTAACAGAGCTGCGCTCTACGAAGGGTTGGAGAGAGGGAGGCAGGGAGGGAGGGAAAGAGGAAGGGTGGGAGGGAATTCTCAATGCAAGGGCTTCAGTCCTGAGAGGCAATGCCAATCTCCTTGCTTACGCTGCTGAGACCCAAAGTCTTGGGGTTTGGCGAGGAGCAAGATTTGGGATTGCTCGGAGCAGAATGGATTAAAACAGCAATCCCTCAAATCCACCTCCATCCCTGCATTGCCTCCCCCAACAAGGCTCCGTTTGCGAGCTGCGTCCGTGTGGGAGGACGGAAGCCGGGAGAGATTCATTCAGCGTCAGACACAGTCAAGTGGTCAGTCAGAATGGGAAATGAGGGCAAAGGCTCCCAGCCATCGCTGGCACTCTAGACCTGTCATCATTTCACTCCATAGCAGAGTTGGAGTACGAGGAGGAAATACTACACACTAGAACACGAAGAGCCGGATGTTAATGTCAAAGTGGTTCCGATAGAGAGAAGTGTCTTGTCACCCAGTGGTTTGATGTAAACTTAAGAAAGTGTGTGTGGGAGAAAGAGGGCGCAATGCTTTTTCCTACCGGCATCGCTCAAGTCCGTGACGTCACTCCCAGGAGCGGGTTTTGTTACTTATAAAAAGGTTGTTGTTTTTTTTTTTTTGCGTCTCCCGGGGCTCGTCGACTACACGACGGCGCTGCGCGGGGCTCGATCGGCTCGTGCCACGTCATGCGTCCGTCGGTTCCTCCCTCTCCGCACCTCCTGCGGGTGTTTCCACTTGGTGTGGAGTTTGCGGGCTGGGGCCCGCCTGTGCTTGACCTTGCCCGCGCGCCGTTGCCACACCTGCTCGCAGACCTCGTCCACCTTCCTGAGGTTGGGGTGGTCAATCAGCTGGAGGAAGTCACGATACCAGACCTTCTGGCTGGATGACGAGGGGTTTCCTCGGGGACCTGGCCCGGGCCCCTCCCTCCGCACCAGCTCGTCTGCCTGCTCCAGGCCGATCACCTCCAGGGAGAAGCTCATAAGGGTCTGGCTGAAGCCGTGCTCCACCGTGTGGCACAGGTACACGCCCGCGTTCCTGCGTTGAACGTTCCTCAGGAGCAAACCCCGCTGCGTCTTAATGACCTGATTGTCTGTGTGAACCTAGCAACAAGGGCACAAGCATCAGAGCTGGGCTGGCGACAGTTGGCATCTATTTGGTTCTCTTTCAGCCACAGGAAACAACCCGTCCCTGTGCTTAAGGATCTCCCAACCCCAAACTATGGTATCTATGCACAATGTCTTCCCTCCTTTCCCCCTCACCCCACCCCCACACCAAAGAGATGTATTTCCCCCACTCCCCCCCGCCTAAGCCGTGCGAGTACTGGACACATATTGGCGAAAGCCAAGGCTTTGGGGACCCCAGAGTGTACATTAGGATAATGGTTGGAGTTTAATTAGCTAAAATCACTTATGTTGCCATTGAAAAGAATAGAAAGCTTTCCTGCTGCTTGTCCAATTAGGACCACCATTCCCACTGGGGCTTTGGCTTTGCAGGGTTAACACAAACCAAGTGGGAAATATGCCTTCTCCCAGAGATTGATCCACTCCTCCAAGGACTGTCGATGAGCCAGGCAGGTTGGTCAGTCATCAGCAGTGCCCTGGAGAATTGCAGACCAGCCTAGCTCAGGAATCGGACCACCGAGACCACTACAAAGTGTAGTGACAGCGTATTTGTAGGTGATCGCGCCAGTCAATTTACGCACAACAATGTCCCGCAAAAAATCAGGAGGTGAATGACTAATTTTTAGGATTATTCGCCAGGATGCCGGGAGAAACTCTCCCTCATCCCCTCTCCCTCTTTTTGAATAGTGCCATGGGATCTTTAACATCCACCCGAAAAGGCAGAAGAGACCTTGGTTTAACGTCTCATCCAAAGGACGGCACTTCTGACAATGCATCTCAAAGTCCGGGTGACTTGACAGCAAACCAACTAAATCTTCTGTGTAATATGGATGCGGACAAACAGGCAGGGAGGGATGATGGACAACAGGAGCAATCCGTGCGATTTGTACCTCGTCTCTCCGAGCGTTGGAATGTCTCTGGTGGGTCCAGGTGACCTGGGCCTGCAGGGACTTGGGAACACACTCCAGGAAGGTACTGCTCCCCTCCACCCCGTACTGATGCTTCTCAATCGTGTTCTGTCGGTGACGATCTGGGAATGAACGGAGGCTGGAGTGAAGTTCGGGTAACAACAACAACAGCAACAACACATTGCATTTATACAGCGCCTTTCACGTCGGGAAGACATCACAAGACCCTGGGACAATGAGGGGATTTGGACCCGAGCTGTGGGTTGGGATCAGAGAGGGGTGGAGGGCAAGGGGGTGGAGGGGTGTGCGTGGAGGAGTGAAGATGAGCTCAGGCAAAGTCGAAAAGTAAGGTCTTAAACTTGGAACATGCTTGGCATCACCATCCCCCAGCTATCGGCACCTCCCCTTCCTCCCTCTCCTTCCACCCTCTCCCTCCCCTCTCTCCCTTCCCCCTCGTCCTCCCTCTTGCTCTGCGTCCAATCCCATCTTTGTGAATTGCTCAGACACGTTATCCGATGGGAACTATATAAATGCAAATTATTGTTCAGCAAATGTATTGGTTCAGGCCGAGGGCTGATTGGATTCTGACTGTCTGTTGTCAATCGTGTCACCTTGCAATGGTGAGTGCTCTCCCCAAGGAGATCTCACCCCAACTCAAAATCTCTCCACTAAATTCGTCCATGTCTGTGGACATTCTGCTGTCAGTCGATAACTTAAACCAAATAACCAGAGATCTGAGCAGATTAGCTTCTCAGATAAGATCCTTGAGCACCGTACCTCCAGAGCATAGTGTGTTAGGGTCCCCATTGCGCACGTCTTGACGTCGGAACCGCCTGGGAAGAGGGGAAAAGGGCTCAGGATTAGGCCTCAACATCAATAATGGGAGCACAAATCATCCACAAAATACACAGTCACTGGGGATAAAGGAGTTTAGAGAGGTCGGGAGGTACCAGGGGGGAGGAGGAGGAGGAGGAGGAGGAGGAGGAGGAGGAGGAAAGAGCAGTACGGAATCTAAAACAGAGCAGGTTTTCTGTAATCTACGGGATTCAGGGGCTTGATGGGCAAAATGGCTTCTGCTTCTATATTTTCTTTCACCCATCAGTCCATCTTGCATTCGATTCTTGGTACCAAATGCAACGGGATTGGATGAAAAGCGTGGGATGATAATAATAATTATAATCCTTTCATTTGATTAAAACGCCTTATCAGGTCGTTGAGACGTCTCAAAGCGCTTCGCAGATTATACTGTAAAGTGAATTGACTGCATATTTTGTGGGCGAAAAGCGACAGTCAATTGCACACAGCAGCGTCCCACAAACAGTCGTAGATTGACTGACCAAATTATTATTATTATTATTATTACATTCGCTGCCCCCCCCACACCCTGACTTTCGGGTTTGGTCTCACTGCTCCCTCTCGTGGTCAGGAGGAATGCTGCAGCTGCACCCGTACACTGGACATCGCTGCTTTAAGAGAGGAATAACTGGCACAGAAAGTGAATTTGCCAGCGATTTGTCAGCCATGGGAGGCTGGCGGGGGACAGAGACATATCTGACCGATTAACTCAACTGAAGCTTCATTTACTAACACCGAGCCCTGTTGCAGTGACCTTATCTGAGAATATTCTTCTGCGTTTACGTTTTCAATCCCATGTAAAATGTGACACACGTCTATAAGGTCTCCTCTGAACGGGCAAGTCTGAAGTGGGGGCAGAGTTAAGAGAAATCAGCCTGTTCCTGGGAGAAAGAACGTACAAATCGGTCCCGGTTTGAAAAGAGCCGCAGTACCTTTTGGTGTTTGCCAGGTATCTGGTGCACGTGTTGCCATCCCAGGCGCAGTACGGATCCCTGGCCAGACAGCACTCGGCGCAGGCCTTCCCATAGATGCTGCAACGCTGTAGAGGCAGCTGGGATATCGCTGTGTCCGAGCCAATGTACAACTGTTGCTGTAAAACACAGGAGAGAGGTGTGAGTCGTGGGAGAGGCACAACCCAGCGGGTTGTGGGTACAAGCCCCCAATATCAGTTCTGTCCATTGCAACTCTAATCCCTGACCGCAGGCCCTGGATTAAACACGATTTAGCCCACACACTCTGCGCTCCTTTCGCACACTAACCGCAGTTCACGCAGTGAAAGACAACGGCTGACGTCTGAGTTGTCAATTCACACCACTGCCCACACCACTTCCTGCGTACTGTTCCAAAATGGCCGATTTCTAGCTCATTCGGTCGCCGGCGAATTCACTTCCTGTGTAATTTGCACCACCGAAAGGAAGTGACATTGGCGCCGACCTAATGACCTGGACGTTGGCCATTTTTAACCCTTTGCAGGAAGCGAGCGCGTGAGCCAACTGTGCACAGGTGCAGGGAATGGCATCCACACCCAACTCACATTACAAACAAAACAGCGCTAGAAAGAAGCACATTATAACGGGGCTGCTCTGCATTCCGTAATCTCCAGAATCTCAGCTCTGTGCCTCTTGCTATGGGACACAATCTCTGACCATTTCCCTGTGGCTACGTTATTATAAAACAATGCTAACATTAAGAGCGCAGTTAAGGTTCGATGCACAAAATCCTCATTGCGGTAAATGGGTTGTGATAGTGAATATATAATAACATTGAGGATTTCAAAGATCAGAGTATGAACACTGTAACAAGGGATCAGTTATTAGTTACAAGGTTCATCAAGCTTGTCGCCAGGTCAGAGGTTGACCTGCATTAGTCTCTAACGTTACTTAACTAACAAATCATAAGCAGGAACCACAATAAAATGCTGCACTTACTCTTTTTGAGGAGAGCTCCATGTTCGTGATTGGGGCTGAGTCCTGGAAGAGAAGAGGAATCCAGTTAGTGTACATCAGAAATCGTAAAGGCACAGTGAATGTCTTTGGGGTGTTACCATAACACTAGAAACCACAAAACCAGCTCACACTTATTCTAATAATAATCCTTACATTTGGTACAGGGCCTTTCATGTTGGAAAGACATTTAAAGGTACTTCAAGGCACCATTGAGTTCAAGCCCCGACATGGGACTTGAACCCACAAACTTCTGACTCTGACGTGAGTCAGAAAGTTGTGTGCTCAAAATACTTCCAAATGAGTCAGGCTGTCACTGACTATTTTCCAATGGAGATTCCTTTCTGTGATCATCTCTATTGCTTAGACCACTTTCTGTTGAAAAAGAATCTTAGCAAATTGGGTAGAAATTCAGTCATGTTACGTTGGTCCCAGAATCAATCCTTACTTGTATCTCTGCTCCATCAAGACCTGCCTTGTCAGCCATCTTGCCTGGCTAATAAGACAGGACTTGATGGAGCAGAGCAGTCACTGGGGGACTTGGATTCTTCCCACCCATCAACTCTTCTTTCAACACTGCAAGCCAAAGCCCTAATGAATACGGTGTCCTAGCTGGACAAGCAGCAGGAAGCTTGCCAGTGTTTGTAATAGAAATGGGACTGTTTTAGTTGGTTAGACTCTCGCCCCAATGTGCACTATATGACCCTCAAGCCTTGGCTCTTGCTAACCAGCACCGAATATTTTCCAGGATTAGACTTGACTTCAGGGAAAGAGTGTGCGTTCCATCCAAGACAAATGGAAATTTCCATACATATGTGGAACTCTGGTTTGGAAAATCTTAAGCACAACTATGGGTTTCCACGTGAGTCAGACACACGGTCGACCAAAAACAATAAAATGCTGTTTCTCTGTTACCTTAAAGACTTGCAGCTCTTCCAAAAGAAGCTCCTCCATGTTCTGCCAGCTCTCTTTGGGCACCGAGATCACTTTCCAAACTGTTCCAACATCTGCCGATGGAGAAAACAGATTGAGTGAGCACTCCGCATAATAATCCTTGCATTTGATATCGCGCCTGATCACGTCGCCGAGACATCTCAAAGCACTTCACAGGATTTTACTGTGTATTTGCAGGCGAAACCCAGCAACCAATTTGAACACAGCAACGTCCCACAAACAGCCATGAAGTGAACGGCAATTTTATTTGGGGGATTGTCAGTCAGGAAACTTCCTTCTCTTTGCAAGAAGTACCACAGGATCTTAGATGTCCATCTGATGAGGCAAATGGGAATTTGGTTTAACATCTCATCCGAAGGATGGCATCTCTTAACAATGCAGCACTCCTCCAGCATTGCACTTGGGAGTATCAGCCTAGGTTGTGAGTTCCAAGTCCCTGATGTGGGGTTTGAACCCCGAATCTTCTGACTCAGAGGCAAGAGTTCTACTGATTGAGCCAGGCTGGCATGTGGATGTCTACGGGAACCCGAGTGGGCCATAAGCAGTGTGCCGTCCGGTAATAAAGCCGTACCAGTGCCGATAAACATAACATCGTAGCGTCCATCGCTGGCATCCACTCTGTCTACTACTATCTGAGTGAAGCTGTAGTCGACGTTGGTCTTTATCAGGAGTGGCCTGGTGTTAATGGGGTAGATGGGATTGTACATCAGAGGATGGTTACGAGCAAACAGCACCACGTCATCAGGAAACTCCTTCGTCGACTGGAAGTTTCCAAAGGTCTTACTCGGACACTGGAAAAGGACAGAGAGAGAGAGAGTTTATGTGCCTCAATCTTCAAAGGAACAAAGGCACTTACCTAAGTATACAGTCAATCCACTTTACAGTATATTCTGTAAAGTGCTTTGAGACGTCTCAGCGATGTGTTACGTCTCTCTCAAATGTAAGGATTATTACTATTATTGTTATTTGATATAGCATCTCATGGCACTTCACAAAATTTCTGTAAAGTGTAGTGAGTGTGTATTTTGTAAGCCAACGCAGCACAGACAAGTTGCGCATAGCAATGGCCCACAATGGCCATGTAGCGAATGGCTAGTTTTATTGGCATTGCTGTTTCTCTCCATTACCTTAAGAACTTTCAGCTCTTCCAAAAGACTGTGACCTCTTAGTGCAAAGGTGAGTCTCCAATGCAGTGCTGAGGGTATTGCTGCATCGGCACGAGGTACTGCCCTATCCAGACCACCATAGAGGGTTGACCTGATTCTGATATTCCAATGCCATGCCTGTTGTAGGCAGCTCAGCACCGACCTCCCCTCCCGCAACACCCCAATGGAGGAGAATCACCAGTTAGTCAACGCAACAACAGTCAGTACCTACCATTCCTGGTCGAGGATAGGGAACTTTTCCTTGGTATGGAATCCACTGGTAATTTGGCCCCTCTTTGTGTGCGAAAGGTCCCAGGAAAGCTCTGCGAATATCATTGATGCTGTACACACACACAGCCGAGCCCCTGAACACATTACTGAAACCAACAGAGGAATTATTCTTCATTGTTATATGATTCTGCTCGAGAAAACTGAAGATTTAGTCACTGGAGTTACACCATTAATTCTGTGCATTCTGAGCTGGTTAATTTTCCAGCACCAGCATGTCCCCCGCCCCCCCACACACACAATCTGTAGTTCCTGCGACTAATACTCATTGGGATTAGGTAGACGGTACGTGATCCTCCAGAGAGAGAGAGAGAGTGTGTGCATTCTATCCCAGACACTGGAGTTTCCATGTGTAGGTGGCGTACATGGAACTCTCAGTCTAGTTTGGATGCTCTTAAGCACGGTGATGGGATTCCCCCGGCTGACCAAAATATAAGGGGATTAAAAACACAGTGAAAGGCACTATATCAATTTGTAGTGTACTATAGAATGGGAAAATCTCCATATTTAGCTCCAAGTCCATCGGGATTCTACCCAATTGGTTGGATGACTCACAAAGTGCAAGTATTGAAGAAGTCAAGTGTTTTCCCCATCCCACAGTCCCGCCTTCCCCTGGGGTGTGGATTGACCACAGGGGGGAAGCGACTCACCTCGAAGTGCCGAAGACTGTGTAGACAAGAGGGTTCCTGGGGTCTCTTGTCTGGAGCAAAAAGACATCCCCTGGAAAGAAATAACAAACCAAGCTCAAGACAAGTCAATGCACAGAGGCTTCTGCGGTCATTCAAATTTCTTGTCGATAGTTAGAATGATAAATAATAATCCTTGTATCGTTGATACAGTGCCTTCCCGCATCATCAAAACTTCTCAAAGTGTTTGACAGGATTTACAGTAAAGTGTAGAGACTGTATTTGCCCAATATTGAGTTGCCCCAAGAGCAGGATGTGGCCCTTTGATCTCATCCATTCACAGCACCAAGCAATTTCCTTTCAATGAGTCCCGTGTTCTCACAGCTAAGCTGATGCTCCAGTTCAGTGCTGGGAAGAGCACTGCAATGTTGGCGGTGCCATCCTTTGGAAGTGAGTTTAAACTGATGTTTTGTCTGTGTTTTTTCAGGTGGATATTAAAGTGCTATTTATGGTGCTATTCCCAAAGAGAAGGGAGTTGGTCCCAGTGTCCTGGCCAACAATCCCGCAGATAAATTTGGTCATTTACTTTATGGCTGTTTGTGGGACATTGGTATACACAAATTGGCTGCCACATTCACCTATAAAATACGCAGTAACTACACATTACAGTAAATCCTGTGAATCGTTTTGCGATTTCCTCCTGACCTGAAAGGCACGGTATCAAATGCAAGAGTTATTTTATTATTATTATTATTACATTCGCTGCCCCCCCCACCCTGACTTTCGGGTTTGGTCTCACTGCTCCCTCTCATGGTCAGGAGGAATGTGCAACTGCACCTGTACACTGGACATCGCTGCTTTAACGGAGGAATAAATGGCACAGAAAGTGAATTTGCCAGCGATTTGCCAGCCATGGGAGGCTGGCGGGGGACAGAGACATATCTGACCGATTAACTCAATTGAAGCTTCATTTACTAACACCGAGCCCTGTTGCAGTGACCTTATCTGAGAATATTCTTCTGCGTTTACTTTTTCAATCCCATGTAAAATGTGACACAAGTCTATAAGGTCTCCTCTGAACGGGCAAGTCTGAAGGGCCCAGGGCTGTTGTTGCTCAGAGCCGCTGCCCTTACACGGGTAAGGAGCGAACGAGGTGCGGTTGCACCACGAGGGGAAAGAGAGAGAAACAACAGCAAAGTAACTTACTCAGCTCGTCAAAGTGTGTGTCAATGCCTTCATTCCCCGGCACGGAACAGATTAAACGGGCCTTCAGAAAGGTGGTCCATTTATTGACCAGACTCCTCTGGCCTCCATAGTCATTCTGAACAAGATAAAGAGAAACAGTCACTACACCTGACAGTAATTACTGCAAAGCATTTTTTGAGATATTTCAACTCAATGAGACGATACAAAAAGGTACATTTGTTCTTTCATTCTTTTCTGTCTATTTCTTGCCTCTGAGACACAGGGTTGAGACTTTGAGTTCACGGTCCAGGCTGACACACCAATATAGTGAATGACCCAATTTGATCTGAGGGATTATTGGCTGAACAATGCCACGTTTTGGGGTTTTTTTAACGTTCGCCTGAACAGGCCTGGCCCGGGACCTCAGTTTAACGTCTCAACTATAGGCTTTCCCCAAGAACTGCACTCAGAACTCTGTTGCCCATATCCTTACCGGTACTAAACACCACACGCCCATCACCCTGGTCCTCGCCAGGCTTTACTGACTACCTGTCGCTCAGCGGATTGACTTCAAAATCTTGATTGATCCTCACCATACATCCCTTCAGCCCTAGCACTTCTCTATCTCTGTGATCTCCTAAGCCACTTCTACGCTCTGTGCTAACATCGATGGTTGAGACCTCAGACGCTATGTCCTAAGCTCCGTAACTCCCTCCCTCTACCCTTCCGTCCCACGCTATCTCTACCCTGTCTTTAAATCCCTCCTGAAAATCCACCTCTGCAATCGTGTCTAAGATGACCTCCCCTCTCCCTTGCTCAATGTCCAACTCCTTCATTGTGAATCGTTCCAAGATATTGCCTTATGTAAAGATCGCTGCATCAAACAATGTAAGTTGTTCTGCAGCATCAGCCTAGACTGCGGGGCTTAGACCCATAATCTTCTGTCACAGGGGCGAGAGTGCTACCAACTAAGCCAGGCTGACATGCCCTGGTAACACTCCTAGTGTCACCAGGGCAACAATTGCCCAAATAGAATTGGTCTCCAAGTTTCGAACTCCAATGGGGTTATCAGAGGTCAGACACAGAGTCACCAAGGGAGGTGATGATAGCTACCCACCCGACATATCTGACCAACACGAGAGAAGGTCGATTTCCCAAAGTTCTGCCCTTCCACCGCCGTCTCTCGGAAGAAGAAATAGATCTTGTCATCGTCGGGATTGTCGCTCTCGGGAATCCAGAAAGCTCCGATGAACTTGGGGTCTGTAAGAAAAGAAATCCACCCAATGGATTCTTTATATTAATAATAATCCTCGCATTTGATACATGACACCTCCGAAAATATAGCATACCCCTAATACTGCATTGGAGTGTCAGCCAAGTGACATGTCAGGATTGAGTCCAACTTCTGTGGCAGTCTCTAGTCTGGTTCATTGGCAGGACTTAGAGGGGCAGTGAGTCATTGGGAACAGGGAATCCTCCACTCAGCTCCTGTTAAGCCTGCAAGCCAAAGTCCTAATGGGTAGGTTGTCCTAGCTGGACAAGAAGCAAGAAAGCTTGCCGGACAGTGCTCTCAATGGCAAGCTATGCAGTTTTAGCTGGTTAGACTCCAGTAGTACCCCAATGCACATTCTGGGGTCCCCAAGCCTTGTATCTTACAACCTGGGCCTAAAATTTCCCGAATTGGGTAGGCAGGATGTGCCCCTCCAGGGAGAGAGTGAGCATACCACTCCAGTTCTAGGGAAATGTCCAGGTGTAGGTGGGGTATGTACATGAACTCTCAGTGTGGTTTGGAGACTCTGAAGCATGGTGATGGGATGGGAACTCACCGTTCAGCCAGCGGGAGTCGTGCTGCTCGGTTCTGATGGAATGCCGATGGCCCAGGCTACGGAAGATGGTGAAATCTCGGCCCATTAAATCTGTGGCAACGCCCGAGTACAGCTCCTCACCTGCACACACAACACCAGAGGGTCATCTGGCACAATCTTCCAATTTCTGACCCCAGCTCCTCCAACCCCAGCCCTCTCGACCCTTGACCCCAATCCTCCCAACCCTCAGACACCCACCGATCAGAATAGAGGTTGACAGATGTTTGGCATCGTAGGGACTTCTGCCTTTGCCGTCCTCAATCTGGTCAATCCTGAACAAATGTTCCTACAATGAGGACACAGAGAGATGTCAAACACAGTGAACTACCTTCTCTTTTCGAGTAGTGTGATAAGATCTTTTAACATCTACCTGAACAAAGACGGGATCACAGTTTATCATCTGATCCAAATGACAGCACCTCCGACAATACAGCAATGGACAGGAGTGTCATCCTGGACTGTGAGCTCAAAGTCCTGACGTGGGGGCTTGAACCCACAACCTTCTGACTCAGAGGCGAGAGTGCTACCGACTGCGCCAGGCTGACACATCGGGAGGACAACTCTCAGTTGCTCACTCCCCAACCCACAACCTGCTGCCTCCCCTCGACTGGCTCCAGCCTCCTGCTTCTCCCTCGTGCTCTCCGTTCCACCGTCGGTGGCTGCGTTTTCAACCACTGCTTCCAGAAACACTTTTCCTCTTATCCCTGCACCATGCTCCCTCTTTCCTAATCTTCAGGTCCCACTGAAGACCTTTCTCTTTGACCGTGTCTACAGTCACCTCCCCTCAGCTCGGGGTCGTGCTCCGTCACTGTCAAGTGCTCTGGCACTACCCTGTGTGAGTGGCGCTATATAAGTGCAAGTTTTTGTTGTTGACCTCTGTTGTGTGGGTGGGGAGGGAGGGGAGAGGGTGAGTTGAGTTGTTGTATCCAGTGCCCTCTGACTTGCTCTGATCCTCTAAGTAGGTCGATTCCGCACCATAAACAATGCACGTTGTTCTGCTGGGCTTTGGCTCCTTCCTCACTTTCTGCATTCCTCTCCATGGCTTCATTCACCACAGGGTTGATGAGCAGCAGCCAAAGCCTATGGGCCATACCAGAAATCACAAGCCTCCAACTCTCAGCACTTTAAATTCTGCTTGGGACGTTTTTTAAGGTTGGAGGGGAGGGGGCGGTGGCTGGTAGTTAGAAAGAGTTCAACCAAAGTTTTTCCAAACTCCTCATTTTCTTCTTTCTTTCCCCGCGCCCCACACCTCGTGAAGATTGATTCTTTCCTGCAGATGTTGACCTCCCCTCAGAGATGTAACTATCAAATTCCAGATATAAATCTATTAACAATACCAATCCGTGCATTTGATACAGTTCCTTATCACACGGTATCGCCACATATCCCGAAGAGCACAGTAGACTGTGTAAACCGTAGCGACTGTGCACTTTGCACACAGCGATGTTCCACAAACAGCCTTCTCAGTCGCTAGCGCTCTCGCCTCCGAGTCAAAAGATTGTGGGTTCAAGCCCCACGATGGGCCTTTGAGCTCAGGCTCGGCTGACAGTGGCTCTCAGTAAACAGACTTCAGAGACGGCCACACGTCCCCCGTACCCCCCTTCCTCTCCACAATGATACTGTCAGGAGCGCGGACTCCAGTAGATCCACTGAGGGGCCACTAGGGGGAGCCCGGAGCAGAGGGAGTTGGGTGAGGAGTCGGGAGAAACCTTCAAAGTGAAGAGCTCCCAAAACCAAACATACCGACCGAGCACCTCACATCTGCAACAACAAACGTCCGAGGCCTCTGATCTCCAGCCTGCTCGTGTAAACCACAACACCATATTTATACACGCAGGCGGGCCTGATAGCACTCCAAAACCATAAATCCAGTGTTTCCACTGAGTCAAGTGACTGCAAACTGCATGTGTAAATAGAGGGTCCAGCCAGCAGCAGCTCATTATTTACACAGAGGAGAACCCGAAGCAGCGCCAGGGTCATACATCAGAGGCTTTATCTAAACACAGAGCTGTCATGTGTGGGTTAGAATTGAAGGCATCATATACTCTTGACACACAGGAGTCCGCTCGCACACTCTCAACACACACGATCACTCACACATCCACTAAAACACACACAAACCCAAAGGTGTATACTCACTCATACACACACTCAGACATATGCAAAACAACAAATTGCATTGATATAGAGCTCACACATACACACAGGTGTACACTCAAACACACACAGAGGTGTACGTGTATGCCCACACATGGTATACACTCACTCACACATGATGTATACTCACATGCAATCACATACTCACATACACAGAAATACACACAGGTGTGTCCTCACACGCATACACATACACACACATGTATGCTATGTACTCACGCGCACATACACACAAGCAGTGTATATTCACAGCCACAAACACCCCCCCATACAGTGTATACTCTTACACATGCACTGTGTACACTCACACACTCAAACACACAGGATAGTCCATTAAGAGCTTTGCTTGTCTGTTTGGTTCCCTTTACACCCTAATCTATTGTGTAATTCTCATGAGGATTCAGAGCAGCCTCAATTCTCATATAACAAAGATTGGATAAGGTTCCTGATTCTCCCTCAGTTTTCCACCTTCTCCTCCCTGCCTGACTTGGGTAACCAGCCAAGGAATGCTTGAAGTCTCAATAAACCAACATGTCTGTCACTCACTCGCTCAAGTCATCAATAACTTAAACCAACTCCCACCTTCCCCAGTGCCGTTAAGAGTCAGCAGAGGGCATCACTCACATTAATTCTGTTGCCCACTTCCAAATAGGCACAGGTGGGGTGAAAGGCTCCTGTGCCACAGGTGTACAGATGGGTCCTGTTGAACAAATGCAGCACTTTGACAAAGTTGGCGCACTCGGCCTGCAAGAGAGAAGAGAGAAAAGCTCAGTCCATAAATGCAGACAACAGGAATACGGCTCTTGCAATTATTTTGCTTGGAGTCAAACACATGACAATAACCTGTTCTGATACAGCGTCTTTCACATCAGAGAACATCTCAAAACAATTGGTGTAGGTTCGGGAAGACAACAACAACTTGCATTTAGACAGTCAAACTCGTATGATTTTTATCTTTATCAATCGTATAATCCACCCGAGCCTCATTCAGTTTCCTTTCAAAATGCACAGTCACTATACGAAACAGTAAACTGCGTCACTTCCTGTGCGCTGTGAAAGAAAACACAAGAAGTGATGTCGGCAGCAACCCGACCTGGAATTCGTCCATTTTAGCCTGAGAGGCAGGCGATGCTCAGAAGAAAGCGGGCTAGAGTGAATGCCTTATAATGGAGTCAATGGTACAAAGGAGCACATCATAAGAATCTCACTGATCTCTCAGGCTGATGTAAGAGACAGGGAATTAAAGGGCGTTTGGAAGAGAGGAAATGGCACCAAAGCAAAGCAAGTTTGCTAAACAGACTCTGATCAGAAGCCAGGAGCCGGCGAGTGACAACAAGTCATCACTGTTGCTGGAGCATCGAGTCCGTGTTTAGCAGTGAAGTGAAGTGATCAGGTTCTGGCCAGATATGCCACGCTTTATGTTATCCAGCCACACTTACACAGCATATTGTTGACATACCGAATCAGAGGCGGCAGCACAGGTCTTATAAAGGGAGCTCAGGTATGCACTTGGGCTGATGACCATCATATGACTTTCAATGCAGATAAATGCAAAGTACTGCATAGAGAATGTGAAGCACAGGAGGCACACAGATGGGAATGAACTTGGCAAGGGGAAAGCTGAGAGACAGAGACCTCAGGATGTCAGTTGACTCATTGCCCACCAAGTTAAAACAAAGCAAGGGAGTGATAAACAAGGCAAACAGGATGCTGGGCTATATTGTCAAATCAGTTGAGTTTAGATCCCCAAACATCAAACTCTAGCTGTATGGTGATCTGGTCAGACCCCCCCTCACTTTGAATACTGCATATAGTTCTCGTCACCACAACATAAGGGGCTCCCAGGCTTTACATGCAGTGCAGAGGAGAGCAACATTACAGACATTATATATATTATACAAGATTGTAAATGGAATTGCGAAAGTAAACCCAGAACAACCAGTTCACATATGCCACAGCAGCAGAACAAGAGGTCACAGGTTTAGACTGGCAAAGGACAATTTCAGGACAGACAACAGGAAAAAAAATTTTTACCCAAAGGGTAATTAATAACCCAAGCAGGTTACAGGACGCTGTCTTATTTAAGAAACAGCTCAATACTGTGATGGGAGTATGATAGGGTGGGGATTCAGGAAGGATGAGATCAAATGGACCAAAGGGCTTTCTTCATCTGAACCCATTTTGTGATCTAAAGATGCATGAGATCTCTTTACCTACATTTTCTGAGCAGTGACACAAAGCAAACCAATGGCAGAGGGAAGAGACAAGCAGGGTCACTGCTTATACCACCTGAACCCTGACAGCCCTCACCATTACCATGTCAGTCACTGTGTCACTGTGTAGTCACTGTGTTAGCCACTTTGTGATTGAAGCAGAAACTAACATTGTATTTAAGAGGACTCTGTGTAATGGGGAAGGCAATAGAAAGGATTAGGAGGGATGGAGGCTCGTGTGGAGTATAAAAAACAGCATGGACTAGTTGGGCCGAGTAGCCTGTTTCCTTGCTGTAACATTCTTAATAATTCTATGTTGTGATGGAGATCAAAGGGCAGGTTAATCTCTAATCCTTGGAGGTGGGCAGATGGGCTATTATTGCCCTTTGAGGTACTGTCCGTTCCGATGTGCAATAGAGAGGTCAAGTTGAAAGAGACATGTAATCTTATCCCGTAATCACACGGGACGCAAAGTATAATACCTGGGGCTGAACTCCTGCCTAATGTGGCAATCATCAGCTAGCTCCACGCACTTAACTGAGCGTAAAGAGCAATTGTCATTAGCCACAAACCTGTTTGAAGCTACTTTACAATGTTTCCTTACTGTTGACATCTGCTAGAGTGGGTCACCATGGATTAATAAATCATACGCTCCAAAGAGCAGCAATTATCTGTTGCCGAACCCTGCAATCTGTTACCCTTTTAAGAGTTGAAAGCTTTACGCCAGGGGTGGCCAGGAGATTAGCTAAAGCTAGGCAGCCCACACAGCGCCGTGACACAGAGACTGGACTGCACGCCAACCCCTGCAACACTAGCTGTGCATTGGCTTTAGTTCAGTGGATTTCCCATCAATTTGACTTCTTTGTCTCATGTTAAAAGAGACAGAATCTTTTTGTAGTTCACGGAATACACAGTGACTACACTTTATGTTAATCCTTTGAAGCACTTTTGAGACTTTTCAACCGCATAAAGTGCTATAATAATAATCGCTGTATTTGGTGCCAGTCTGGCTGTGGGTAGCTCAGAAGGTTGTGTGTTCAACCCCCTCATCGAGACTTTGACAGTCTAGGCTGACATTCCAGTGCAGTGCTGGGGGAGCGCTGCACTGTCGAAGGTGCCATTCTTCGGATGAGGCATTAAACCAAGGTCCCTTCCTTGCATGTCAGGTTTATGTCCAAGATCCTGTGCCCCCAATAGAAAGGAGAAGAGAATTTTTCGCTCTCTCCTGGTGTGCTGGCCAACAATTCCGCAGATAAAATCAGTCGATCACGACTTGGCTGCTTGTGGGACATTGCTGTGCGCAAACTGTCTGCCGCATTCACCTGCAAAAAACATTGTTACTACACTGCGCAGTAAAACCCCGTGAAGCGCTTTGAGATGTCCTTGTGACGTGAAGGGCACTGTTGCAACCGGAAGGATTATTATAAAGGGGAGCATAAAGCAAGAGCGGAGGCAATGCTGGGAACAGTAAATACAACTACAGTATATGCGTATCTCTCACGAAGGAACAACACAAACACACTATCTATTCATCCATTCCCCACTCCAGCCCCGTCTACCCAACGCCCCACCTCCATTGGTAAAAGATGCACAGTATTTCCTGTGCTACATTATATGCTATAGGTGTAACCGCAGCTGCTATGATCACTGGGTAACAGGAACCTTGCTCTTTGAAGACAGGTAAGTGGAAGGCATCAAAGAAAAGGGGGAAAGATTTGTACACAGGATGGATGCCTGCCAATCACTACTCATTCGCTAAGTGCTCTGATAGCATAACTTGGTGATGGAGGGGCTTTCAGCCTGACTCTTTGATGTCACAGAAAGAAGGGAATTAAAGAGAGCGAGAAAGAGAGCGAGTTAGGGAATGATAGAGAGTAAGAGAGAGAAAAAGACAGAGATAGACAGAGAGCAGACACGCACAGAACGAGAGAGTGAAGACGAATAGAGTGAGAGTGACAGATACAGACACCCACAGAGTGAGAGGTAGGGAGAGTGAGATAGCGAGTGTAAAAGAAGGAGGGAGATAGACAGAGACACGCAAAGGCATACAGAGATAGAAAGTGAGAGAGATTGGTAGAGAGGGGGCTTTGAGAGAGAGGTAGAGTGAGAGAGGACTCAGCGAGAGAGCTTTGCTCCAACTTGCATAATTCAACATGAGGTGAGAAGGAGAATCTTTATTTGTTTTCACCGCTTTGTTGGTTTGATTTTCACTAATTACTGCTCAGGTTTGCTGCCAAGTCCGACTGATGTAGCCAAAGATATCAGAAAGACCACAAGATTGTGCAACAGAGACCAGTCTGCACAAGCTGGCCACTGCACAGGCCTGGCCACGGTGACAGCTTAATGAAGAACGCATATTGATACGCAGCCAGCCAGGCAACACGCATCAAAACACAACCTCAAATATCCACATCCAGAGAGAATGTCTTCCCCAGGGAATAATCCTGTTCAAAACTGACACCGTGTCTTATATATCAAATGCAAGGATTATTATTTTTATTATAATCATCGAAATGCGCAGCAAGTGAGTCTGTCTGTTACATCGGGTGCATTAGTGAGTTAGCTTGTTATACAGGGGGTGCTAGGGAGTCGATGTGTTATTATAGAGGGCACTAATGTGGTACCATCTTTGTGCCAGCCTGGCTCAGTTAGTAGCACCCTCACCTCTCGCTTCTAATTCTCACCCCTGATTGTGCGTTCAAGCCTTGAATTGTCGAAGGTGCCATCCTTCGGACAAGATGTTAAACCAAGGTCATCTCTGTGCCTGTCCAGGTGGATGTGAGTGACACATAGACGCAGAGGTCTGTGAAAGAGGTAAGGGGTGGGGGGGCGGGGGTGGGGGGGAGTGAGACCGTGGAGGAATGCGAAGGGGAACGAGGATCTTGAACTCCTGGTGGGGAGGAAGAATGGAGAGATGGAGAGCCAGGGGCGCTGAGTAAGGATAGACGTGATGTGCTCATTGGAGCCTGTTGTGGGAGAGGACAGGGACTGGATGGTCTGCAGCTTGTGTAGGGAAGAAGCTGGGGAACTGGGCACTGGGATAATTGAGCCTCGGAGGTGATGCACAACAGTTTGAGCACAATAATAATAATAACAATCATTGTATTTGATATAGTGCCTTATCACATCGCTGAGATATCTCTGAGTGCTTCTCGGGATATACTGTAAGTGCAGTGACTGTGTATTTTGGGGGCAAGACACATAACAATAATCCTAACATTTCATATGGCACCTTATCACTTGGTTGAGACATCTCAAAGCATACAAGACATCTTCCTATCTGTGTGGGAAATTAAAAACTCCCACTGCACTGCAGTTTGTTTTAAAGGGACAACACATTCAAATGTAAAGGATCTGAGCCAGCACAGATTAGGACCATGTTCCAAATTAATCCAACAAACCCGAGGTTGGTGATTCGGGTTTGTGGGCATGCCAGAGCTATGTGCAAATGAGCCTATTTCCTTGCGGCTTTGTTAAGATGCAGAAGATTAAGGGAGAAATTCATTGTAACCCTTTTCAAGTGGAAAACGT